GTGTGTGTGTGTGTGTGTGTGTGTGTGTGTGTGTGTGTGTGTGTGTGTGTGTGTATGTATGTAAACCTTTCTTGTAACTTTTGAACGGCTTGACCGATTTGATCGCGGTTGGCGCTATTTGAAAGGGCTTGCCCAAACTTAGATTTCCTGAAAATTTAAACCGATTCGGACCAGTAGATTTCGAGAAAATGCAAAAAAAGTGAAAAAAAAGTTGTTTTTTTTTATTTTTTTTAAATATCTCCGAATTGGCTGAACCGATCGGTCTCAAAAACTAATCAGCTCTTAACCTTGAAAACTCCCATCGATCGCCACCAAAAACGTCAGAATCGGTTGATCCGTTCGTGAGATATCGTTGTCGAAAAAAATCGAAAAAAGTGTTTTTTGGTAATAACTTCGAAATTCATGACTCGATCGATTTAAACTTGAAAATTTTTCATGAAACTTCAAAAACTGCGTCGATTGCCGCCAACCGCGTGAAAATCGGTTCATTCATTCAAAAGTTATTGCCGTTTGAAAATTCAAAAAATTGTGTCTTTAAACTGCTATTAGAGTTTTGAGCTCGAAGAGCTCAAATTGACACAAAAATAATATTTTTGAGCTCAAAGAGCTCAAAAACGTAATGTGTAGTTTGAAGCGTTTAAGTACAAAATGAGCGGGAAGTTGCAGGGATGGCCTTTAGGGTGAACCGTTTTTCTAATTTTTTTTATTTTATTGTCCGTGACAGTAGCGTAAAATCACCGTATTTCGACAGTATATTGAGCGTACAGCATCGATCATAACATCGTAGATTCACTTGCGTATACACCGTATATATTCAATAAATTAATAGTAGACATCGTTCACAACGGTATCCGATGCTGACTGATAGATCGCTTGGTAAGAACGAACTTTATACGGTGAAACGACCGTGAAACAACTGTCAAGCGACCGTGCTGCGACCGTGCTTTCACCGTGCTGCTGAAACCGCCAGGGAACGATACTCTTTACAATGTCAAAGTTTGGTCCCGATCGGTCGAGCCGTTCAGAGTCATGAGAGGTTTACACACACACACACACACACACACACACACACACACACACACACACACACACACACACACACACACACACACACACACACACACACACATCCTGCGGCAGAGGAGAAGCTGCTACCAGGCGCGTCTCCCCGTAGCGGATGGGAGAACGCTCGCTGTCTTTGGATGACACTAGGTCTCCTAGTTGATGAGATACAGAGGGTAGGAGCCAAATAAAATACGCTCCCGTGGACAAAACTCCCCCCTTTTAATGGGTTGGTCACACTAACTGACCTAGCAAGACGATCGTTCCCTGCTGTAACTCACTGGGAGTGTCCGGAACCCGTGTCGATTATTTTCGACGATACGGGCTACGGCTGATGTGAGCTTGCTCTGCCGAGGTGTAAGTTGCAGTAGCGGATCAGGAGCCAGCCATTTCGGGCCTTGATCAGGAAGTACGCAGTGAGTGTTAGAGATCGGAATCTTCACCGCCCCAAGCGAGTCTAGTCTGTCCGTGTATTCCGGGACTGGCTAAGTGTCGGCTAGGCCTCAGGGAACTGGGGTAGGAGTACTATCTCAAGGGTACACCCGTTCCTAGTTATGACAACCCGCTCCACTCCATACGATGCGCTAGTAAATCAAGAAAGTATGAGTAATTTACAAGAAACAAACAAGAGTGGAAACGGGCTTTATGCCCAACAAGCAGCGATTGAAGCAAGTGCTGAAATTAAGAGAACGCAAGCGCTGGAGCGTCTTGAAAAGCTGACCATTGAGCTATAAGAGTTTGTCCAAACAAAGGTCAATATCCACAAGGAGATAAAGACCAAGACAACCGGTGTAGTCAATGCTCTTGGAAGATTCAAGAAACTGGACGAGGAATGGCAGTTATCACGATGACGCATTCAAACTGAAGTTGAGACGGAAGAAGCAATGGACACTGGAGCCGACGGTGACGGCGAATCTGCTGCTGAGGATAAGGGTGAAACTGACACAAGGCCTGGAAAGAGAAAGGACCGAAATTCGCCAGAGCCAACCGACAAAGTCACAAAGAAGGACTTGAAAAAAAGCCCTCCCCAACAACTGGCAGGGCAGGACGACGAACCTAAGAAGGTGACTGATTGGAAAAAAGTACAGTCTAAGAAAGCGAAGAGGAAGCTAGCTAGAGAGCAACTCTCAAAGCAGCCGCCGAAGGAGGGAGCCCAGGCCAGAGCCTAAGCGGAAAAAACCACGCAAATGGATCAGACCCGACGCACTGATCATCCGCCCGACCGAGAAAACAAAGTATGCCGAGATTCTGCATCGCATAAAGCAGGACGTCCCAGATGAGCAGGTTCGTTCAACGGTAGATAAGATCAACAAGACCAGAAGTGGCGACTTGTTGATTACGATTTCGAGGAAGAGCACTGACAAAGGCCAAGCCCTCCAAAAGACGATCGCAGACATCCTTAAGGAGGAGGCCAAAGTGATCTGCAAAGGACCACAGGAGACCATCGAGATCCGAGATGTCGATGACGACACGATGAAAGAGCATATTCAGACCGCTCTAAAGAGGGAAGCTAGAGAAAGATGTGAAATCCCACTAGAGGCAATCAAGATCCGTAAAGCCTTTAGGGGTACGCAGACAGCCACAGTGTCACTACCAGCAGCTGCAGTACAAAAGTTACTGGAGGAAAACTGCAAAATAAGGATCGGCTGGGTCAATTGCCGAATGAGAACAACGAAGAGACCCATACAATGCTTCAAATGCTGGCACTTTGGGCACTTCGGATCCCAGTGCAAAAGCGAAGTCAACCGGTTTAAACACTGCATAAGGGGCGAAAAAGGACTCAAAATTACTGATTGTAAAAATCCAGCTAAATGTGCACTGTGCGTTGAACAGCACGGCGTAGAAAAGGCGGCTCACCATGCAGGCATGAACAGATGCCCCGTCAAGAACAGATACCCCGTCAAGAAGATCAGCAGCAACCGCAACAGCAGCAAACAATTGTGCATCTCATTTCGGAACAATCTTCGAATGTCTTGTCAAATAATTGTGAATTACTTGTAGAACATGAACATGAACAAGTGCAGCATCAATAGGAGCAACAGCCACAGCAACAACAAGTAATCGGAAAACACCCGGAAAAATCTTTAAATGGCTTGTTAGAAAATACTAAGATAATAGGAGAGCATAAACAGAAGCAGCAGCAACAAGAATTTGAATTACAGTTTACTAACGATGAAATGAGTATAGAAATCACAAGGCAAGCAAAAGTATTAAGTAATGACAATGATCAGGTTAGATTAGCTGTAAAGAGAAGATTGAGTTATCCTGACAATAATGTAACAATCAAGCGTCAGAAAAAGTTTGAGCATGAGATAGATTGTAACCGTCAAGTAAGTTTTTTTTTATCATAAAATTTTAGTATTAGCACAAAAAAATCACATGCGATTTTATTATTCTAGATGAACCGTAGTAATGATGCGGAAGTTCTGAGTATTATCATTACATTGAACGAACAATTTCCAATTGCTTGGACCTTTGTTCCTGGTATTAATCAATTGATCGCCATTCAATTAGATCGTGTCAAATTAAATGAGCGAATAAGACTAATAATAAATGATGATCAGTCTGTCTTGGTAAGAATAAGTATAATTATATGATTTATTTAAAGAAACAGTTTATCACTTTCTTTTATAATTAACTTTTTTTTGTTATAGGTAACGTATTCAGAGCATTATAAAAAAAAAATTGACGTACAAATAAAATCTGTCAATGATTTAATTAACTTTATAAAGAGTATGGAGTTGAAAACGTTATGCACTGGGACAGGATATGATTTAAAAAAGTATTCTTTTCATTTAAATAGTTTTTATTTTATTTTTTTTTTTTTTCGAACTGAATACTAAAAGAGTTGAAAGTGAAAATTATTAACTAATTATTCTTCAATTTTTTTATTACAGTTTTTCATTAAAATGTCACGGTGATGTGAGCGATATTTATAAACGAAGCCAAGCAACACCACGATGTCCTGAGTGTCGGAAACTTCGTGTGAGGTTGCTCAAATTAAAAAAAGGCCAAAATCTTAATATCGCGGACAAGGTAGAAGTGACTTCTAAAGCTATCAATTTAGGACTTGTTAAAAAAACAAAGCGCATTAAGAAACAGGTATAACTAATTTTTTGAATGACTTTTTGATTTTCAAATGCAGTTCTTTGTTATATCGCTATAATATTTGTTTTTATTACTAGCTTGCATTATTACTGAGAATTTCAAAATTTTTAACTGTTTAAAAAGTTATAAATAATACAGCTTTCATTATTTGAGGAATACTTTAATTATTATTTTTTATTATTTTAGCTACAATCGTGTTCATCAAAATTACGTGATATCCAAAGGAAAACCAAAACCATTTATAAAGGTGAATTTAATAAAAAACTTTCTTTATTACCGAAACAGCAGCAAATAACAGTAAGGATGTGTTTTGAGAATGTTAATAAAAAAGGCCCAACTGGTAAACGATATGAAGTAGAATGGATTTACGAATGTCTTCTAATTCGTATGAAAAGTACGTGTACTTACAACATGATACGAGCAAGAAATATAATACCTTGGCCAACGATTGATACATTATCAAAGTATATTGGAAAGATAAGTTCGTCGATTTTTGGATTTCTGCCTGAGACTTTTGAAGTTCTTCGAAAAAAAGCATCATCAATGGCTCCTGAAGAAAAAATAGGTCAAATATCTGCTGATGAGGTGAAGCTAATGGAAAATATAGAGTACAACAAAAAAATTGCTGAGTACAGTGGTTTTGTTGATCTCGGAAAATATACAACTGAGTCTGATAAAGATGTTGCTGGAGATCATGCTCTTGTTTTTATGTTTGTACCATATCGGGGTAGTTCTGCTCAACCTCTGGGATGTTTCATAACTAAAAATTCAATTACGAGTGAAGTTCTTCATAAATTATTTTTAGAGTGTATTATCCTTGTTGAAAATGCTGGTTTTCACGTAAATTTGATAGTAACTGATGCTGCTCAATGGAATAGAGGTGTTTGGACGAAATTAGGAGTCGGACCTAATAACAACAGTTGTGAGCATCCATGTGACTCTAGTTGTAGATTATGGGTGATATCCGATTTTCCACATTTAGTAAAATGTTTTAGAAATGGATTGGTTGAATTGGAGGAATTTGAGGTAATTATTTAAGAAATTTTTTAATAATTCTGTAAAGATTTTTTTCACAATAGACTCAATAATTTCTACACTGATAGAAGGATTAGTTTATTTTTAATAAGCTTTAGCAATTATTAATAAATGATTTTTTAAAATCATAGGGTTTAATGAGTATTTATTAACAGTTAAAAAATTATTTATAAAATACGATTTAATAAATATTTGTTAACAGTTAACAAACATTTATTAACAGTAAATAAGTAATTTATTAAGTACAATTTACTAACTGTTAATTAATATTTGTTAATGGCTAATAAATATTTGTTAACTGTTAACAAATATTTATTTAAAATAAAAAACAAAAATAGCAATTTTCTTTTGACACTTTTTATGACCCTATAGCTGGAATACATGATAATAATTCAATTCACTAAATAAATTAACGATTTTTATAATTAAAAATATAAAAGATAATTATGAACTGTGATAGAATTTGCTATTTTACAATAAACTTTATCATAATGTAATATAATTGATACAAATAATTTATAAAGATGATTTTTGTTTATAAGCAATCTTCATATTACATGACATTGCAAGCGAAATAAATTCACTCAATAAAATATTTATTAACTGTTAATAGATAATACTTATTAACTATTAATAAATGTACTATTCTCCCAAACAAATATTTATTGAATGTTAAAAAATATTTATTAAGATTTAATAAATTAAATAATTGTCTCCAAATAAATTAAATTGTTAATAGTTAATAAATCGTTTTATCAGTGTACATTAATTAAAATGTCATTAATCTAACTAGCTAGCTTTCTTTTATTATAGACACCTGTTGGACTTGTTAAAAAAAAATATTGGCAAAATCTTTTACTAGTAGAACAATTTGAAAAGCCAAATTTAGCTATGGCTTACAAACTCACACCAGCCCACTTAGATCCTAAACTATATCAAAAGATGTCTGTTCCTTTGGCTTATCAGGTATAAATTTACAATTTTTTATTCCATTTCCCGAATAATACTAAATAAATTTCAATATCAATAGTTATATTCACGGGAAGTTCGTTGCGCAATGACGGTATTAAGAGAAAATGGCAATGAAAAATTTGAAGGATCAGAACCGACTGAAAAATTTATTAAAATTATTGATGATGGTATTCAAGCAATGACTTCCCATGATGCTAAAAATGCTCTGTATTTTAAAGATACTTGTGAACAGCAACAGGTAATGAAAAATATAAAAAATATTGTTTTATTAACAAAATTAATCAAAATTATTTGCTTAACGATAACTTTTTGCTATGGATATTATTAAATCCTAAGAATTTTATGTCGATTGTTGCGATGGTAAAAAAATAATTCTATTGGCAAAATAAATTAATTCATGATATACGAATTTATAATTATAATAATTAATAAAATGAGGTTTTTACAGAATTTGCAATAAACATAAGAATTTTAGTTCAAAATTAACAATTTTTGCTAACCAATTAACAAAAGAGTAATTAACTTCTAAAAATTAACAGCTATCACTAATGGCATTGTTGAAAAAAATTGAGGACACTACTTGTGTTCTATATTTTTTTTTTTAATTATGAAGTGAATTCAATCGATGGGATAATTTTTATTAAATTTTTTTTATATAGTATTGATCTTTACTTATAACTAGATTTTTAAATTATAAAATTTCATGGGTAGTTGAAAAAATCGAGTAAATAGTTTAATATATACTACATTAGAAAATTTTAGCTTTCAAAATTTTTTCTGGCTAACTTTTATACTTTTAACTTTTATCTACATATTTTAATATACTAATAAGTAATAATTAATAATATTAAAAATATAGTGACTTACTAATAATATATGATTATTACTTACTACTAATTATAATTATTTTTACAAATATTTAGAAATGCTTTCATTAACCTTTAAGTATTATTTTGCTTTCAGGCTCAAATTAATTTTTTGTTACTTATTATTTTCCGCTTTTAAGCTGCTTCATAAAAATTTTAATAACTATTACTAATTTTTATTTTGCTTTCTAACCAATTATTAACTTCAAATAACAAATTAATTGAGAAAAATTTCAATAATTTACAGATTTATTCCAGCTGATGGCGGATTTGACTGCTTCGATTATATTCTGTTTTTGTGAATACTTAATCAGGAATCAATCAACAAAATCATTAAAACCAAGGAAGCAATATTCAATCTATTCAATCATTTTTCCTGTTTTCAGTGGATTTTCAAACTTTTCGTTATTCAATGAAAAACTGAAGAAGACAAATTGGATGAGTAATAACACAAAAATCACCCATAATCGATGCTGGCTGGAGATGATAAATTATAAACAATACTAACACTTTATTACACTACTGTTCGCATTACTAATTCCTAAACGCTTTTCTAAATTTATATCCAAGTAGAATAGTTGCTTATTATTTTGATGTCGCTTCCAATTATTACTTTTATCCTCGAAACATTTTTATCAATTTTTATTTACATGTTTTTCTCCGTACATAAATATTTTCCAAATTTTCATTTCCTTTTACCTGTAACACATAGGCAATTCGGACTTTATTGAAGTTTTTAGAAGATTGGGAAAAAATGTATACTCACACGAAAACTCCTAATGCTTCTACTCCAAAGAATTCCACTCCAAAAAATACAGTTTCTAAGAAAATCACTCCTAGACAATCCATATCAAAAAATTCAACTTTAAATCAAGTAATTCCACAAAATACAATCTCAAAAAAAGCAACTCCTAAATCCACATCAAAAAAAAATTCTTTTCCAATATCTGCTAGCACTATATCCGGTTTTAAAGTCACCTTACGAGCAGCACTACAAATCTTATCAGAGTTACACCATAACTATGGATATGACTATCTCATAACATCACGTTTGACTCAAGACAATCTCGAGGTAATGGCCTAATAGAAGTATTCAATTCGCAGATTTGTATTACCATTTTTAATAATAATAATATAATTATAATTGTGTATTTTACAGAGATTATTTTCAATTATGAGATATTCTTGTGGTGCCAATGATCACCCAACACCCCAGCAGTTTGGTCAAGTTTTCCGATTATATTGCTGCAATACCATGATTAAGCCTCCAAAAGGCTCAAATGTCACTGGAGTTGAACTGCTTCAAACTCTGATGAAAACAGAAGATTCGCTAAAAATGTCTCGTCAACCACGAATGGAGTGGTTAGAAAAAATTGACAAGATGCTGGAAAGGGCTGTACCAATTGGTGATATTTGGAACGATAATTCATCCAACGATGCAAATGAAAGTTCTGTAAGTTCGATTGATTTAAACGCCTCTGAATCATTAACTACTGAACCAACATCGAGGATTCAAACAACTCTAGAGTCCCTCGAACATCATGATTATGATGTTGTGTCTACTAGTCGAGAAGTTCAAGCGTATATGGCTGGGTATATCGTAAGAAAAATGAAATATAAATGTAAGTGCTCATCATGCTTCTATACTCTTCAATCATCTAACGATGAACCGAATTGTCGTGATCGGTTTATTGACTTGATGGAAAAATATGGAGGACTATCAAGGGCTTCTGACAATTTATTTCAACTCACCATGCAATTAGAAGCTGCTTTTTTAGATGTTGTTGGCAGAGTAGGGTTAAGCCGTGGCACAATAAATAAAATATTGGATAGAATTGAAAGTATGCTACCACAATTATCGTTTGTTGGATGTGGGATCCATCAGCTCGAAATAACGAAAGATATCATCGATTTTTATATAACTATGCGACTATATTTTCTGGGTAAAACTTTCAACAAAAGGAATCAATTAAAAAGAGAAAAAATGAAAACTTAAAAAAAAACTTCGAAATTAGTGACCTAAAAAATCTTACTGAAATAAACCTGAGAAACCCATCTTAAATGTTAATTGATAAGATCTTCTATCTGATAAAATAAATAATAACTACTTGTATTTGTATTTTAATTATACTTTTTTATTTTTGTATTATAATAAATTATTGAAAGAATACAAAAATCATTCTCTTTACCTGACTCAATTTTATTATAAATTAATTTTAAATTTGATACTATTTCTTCACACAAATCTGTATTTAATTTAATTTATTACTATCATTTAAATATTGATTTCTTACTACTATTAATTTATTATTTATTTGATTTTAATTATTTTCATTTACAAAACTTGAATGTTTTACTTTATAATTTCGAATTATTATTTCTATTTGAAACTACCGCCTCATCCCCCCACCGCTTTGGTACATGTCGAGCACCAGCGCCCTCTTATTTTGGTAGCCCTATTTGCATACATGGAGTTCGTGCTCCTTATCTAGGGTGCGTTCCACTAAGCGTTCACAACGCCTAAAATACTCATTCAGGCGTTCCACATGGCGACCGCGATCGTTGTGGTCGCGGCGAAAACGTCATTAATGACGTCATTACTTATGCTCACGCCTAGCTCACGACGACCCATCTCAAGAGGTGGGTCGATGTGAGCGTTTTGAGAAACTGAGCGCAATTTTTAAAACTTAAAGGAGCAAACATGGCGACAACTACAATATCGTTCTATTGCGCCGAAAGTGATACTGTTGTGGATCTCAAACTTTCTCCTGCAGATGCTCAACGTGCTTTAACAGGTAAATATTATTGTCAAATGAAGCTTAGTAAGCATAATTGCAGTTTATAATTTATCGCAATTTTATATATTTTTCATCATTTGTCAACAACATATCTAAGTTAATGAATAAACAAACAACGTTAATTATCAAGAAAAATCTATTTGTCAAAAGAAACTTATTTTGATTTCAGAGTCTTAAATCAACAATCACCGCACTCGACATCCACTAATTTTGATAATGACAATCTTTTTTTGTCTAATGACGTTTAACAATAATTCTAGCCATGAAGAATGTCTTAATGCTGAACCCTGATTAAAAAAAATTATTGAGACAAAGAGAAAAATATTGAAAAGAATTGGTTTTTTAGTCAATCCAATATTTTTCAATACTTTTTTCTTTGTCTCAATACTTTTTTTTTATTCAGGGAAGTTACAGATGATCTCAACTCTAAAACCCACGGAAGTGAAGGTATCTGGAGAAGTAATAAATTATACAATTATCTTGATGTTTATGTTAAATGTATGACGATGTCAGTAACATATTTGCATTTCCCAGCTTCTTTATACAGGTGGAATCCACTTTGTGTATTTTGTTACTATTAGAGACATACAAAACCATGGAAAAATACTTTAGTAGTGGGAAATTCTCCCAAAAAAAAAAATTTGGGAAAGAATTGCAAAGGAGCTCAATAAAAAAGAATACAATGTAACTAGGCTCAATGCTCTTCTAAGCTACAAAGCTTAAAAAAAACTTTTGAATCTAAAAAGGATCATAACAGCAAATCCGGCAATGACAGAACGAGTTGATAGTATTTAGATGTTATTATTATTTTTTTGATATCCTTCATTTCAAGAATATATTCTACAACAACCAATAATAAAAATAACAGTTAGAAATTAATGTTAAATATTGTTTTTAATTACCACTTCGTATTATATATTTTTGCTAGATTATAACTCGTACTTTGTGGAGCATTATTTCGACGTACCAACAAATTTCCAATTGTCGCCGTAAAAGCCTTTTTTATCATATGTGAACATAAATTAGTTAAATACTCCTCTAAAATTAAAGTATAAATGTATTTTTTATTTTTTTTAAATAAATCAAGTTAACCAATAATTAATAAAACTTGATGATACCACATACAAATTTTACCATAACGTCTCCAACCTCTTATTTTGTTTTTTTCAGACGCGCCGTTTGTATTATTTAAATAAACGCTCAAAACGCTCCAAAATCCATTCCACTTGAGTTAATGATTGTGACGCCCAGAACCAAGTGGAACGGCAAAAACCGTGGTTGTGAGCGTGATCGTTGTGAGTGCTTAGTGGAACGCACCCCTAGTCTCCATGCCTGAAGAACTTAGAATTGAAGAAGTTGGAAAGGATCCTGAACCAGAGAATGCAAACAGATTCACTAGAGGAATCAATGTTGTCGTCAGAAGCTGCCTGAAACGCTACCAACCGTAATCAATCGTAATAGAAGGGTAATAGTGACAAGAAATAAAAGTAGTAAACGAAAAAAAAAATTAAATAAATTGAATAAATCCTATTAACTACTCAACGAAACATTTCACAATTGACGGTCATTTGATGCCATTGAAACACCGGGGAAGTCCAGCAATGCCGCCATATGTTACGTTTAGTCTTCAATAATACATCCATAAAATAAATAAAACAGCCTCTCCCTAATCACTAGACGATCAAATTTCGATTTTAATCTTTAAAAAAACCCAGACTGTGAATAAATATTAAAATTGATAGTTGGTAAAAATATTGAACTAAAAAAACGAAACAACTCGTCGACCTTCGATATAGTTTATGCCATTGTAACAACCTCTCGATCAGAGATAGTCGCATTTTATTTAACTCTTATAGACACTGCACACTACAGTCTCCTTTATATATATATATATATATATATATATATATATATATATATATATACACTGCTGCCAACTTTCACGTATCATAATACACATAGAGAAAGAATGTGGTTTCCCTTTCAAATTACAAAATACTCAGTTGAGGGTACTGACAACTGTCCTCGAGATTTGTAATTATTAATTTTAAAAACGCACTCTATCAAAAATCTATATATATATAAATATAAATTTTTAAGTAAAAAAAAAAAAAAAAAACGTGCTGCATATTTATGTCCATATGCATACGAAATGCAAGATGATATTCAATGATAAACATGATAATCAATAATACATCTAGTTATTGAATTTGAGCATGATTTATTTACATAGAAATGGCTAGTGTATGAAAAATTAGGCCATGGTCGGTGGTGGATATAGTATATATGTTATATAGTGTAAGTTTCGTTACACTAAGGCGTAGTGTTGAGAGTAGATATTTTATTCAATATTTTATTAAGTATTCTCTTATATCTTGTAATATAACATAACACAACCCGTTGTTATTATTATATCCATGTATCGAACACGTGATTTTATAAGCAAGCCCCAGGCAATAATTTACCACTGAATAAACTTAATAAAATTATTTTATGCCAATTTCCAGCATCAAAATACCTTGACCTTTCGAATTATTCGTTTTCAGTCTCACAATTATCTTACTTGTTATTACTTATTATTGCTTATTATTACTTATTATTACACGACTCATGCTGCGAAACATTAGAGAGTAGTCTACGCTCGAAAAATTTCTCTCGTCTCCTCCCTGTAACTAGTTTTGTTATTGTTATACTCTTGTTAGTCCCATGGAACCAATATAATTTTTGTGCCATGATACAGATATTCAATCAAGATTAATTCTGATAGTACAAAAAATTATTTAGTAGAATAGAAATTTAGGAAAATAAAACAACAAATGTAGTCCTGTTAAGTGACATAAAAATTTTCGTAGCTGGAAAACATGATAATTTTATGAAAAATCATTATTTATGACATTTTTCTTAATTCACTCGTTTTGGCTCGGAAGAAATTAGTATGGATGAACAATTAATGTTATCAAAAATTCAATTTTTAGAATTATAGAGTTTAAGTTTTTAAAGATATTAAAAATTCAATAATCTTAAAATATCAGATATTGGATTTTTTTGAATTCAATTTTTTGAAAATAAAATCAATTTTTTAAGATACCAAAAATTAAAATTTCTTATTAACTAGAATTTGTTTAAATTAGTCTTACGAAACGATAAATAAGTCAATTTTTGAAATTATAAAATTCAAGTTTTTGAAAGTATAAAAATTTAATTATTTAAAAATAATCAAAAGTTAAATTTGTTAAATTTAATCTTTTGGAATTATTAAATTCAATTTTTTTAAGGTATCATATATTGAAATTCAGTTATCTTAAGATAATTAAAAATTCGATTTTTGGAACTGCAAAGTTTAAGTTTTGGAAGAATCAACAATTCAATTATTGGAAATATCAAGTTCAAGTTTTTAGAAATGTAAAAAATTTATTTTTTTAAAATACCAAAAATTATCAAAGGTCAATTTTCGGAAATATAAAATTTTAATTTTTGGAAGTATCAAAAATTAAATCTTTCATTGTTATACTATTATTAGTTCACGGAGACCAAGATAATTTGTGTACCATCAAACAGATAATTCAATCAATATTAACTCTCAAACTTTTAAAAATTCATCCCATGTTCTAAAATCGAGCAGAACCATAAAAACAAATTCCCAAATTTGTTTCCACCTTCACAATAAAAAAATATTTTAGCTTGAAGATACGATAATTTTACAAAAAATCCATCATTTACGTCATTGTTTTTAACACTCTTGTTCCTTTGTTCCTAATGCGCATGCGCGTTATAATAATAGCTGGAGCTGAGTTGAGTTCGAAAAATACCGTGAATTATTTGAATTATAAATTTCATCAATAATTTCCACTAATAAATTTCATTCTTTTTCACTTTACTCTTCTATTATCAATACATTTTTATTAAAAATTTAATGCGCGTAATGAGTTGTGCACTTTTGGATTTTCCAAACTTTTTAATTCATAATATCGATTCCATGAGTAATTTATTTATAAAAATTACATTTCTTCTTTTTCACTAGATTCTCATTTTTGGAAAAACATTAGAAATTCAAAGTCTTCTTTATCACGTCAAAACAACGCCATTTATCAGGAAGATAAAACGGTTCGAATATAAGAGGAAAGGGAGTATCCCAACCCGTTACTCTTTGAACGGGAGCTTCGAGATGTAAAAAACAAGCTTCCTATCAACAACAACAAAAAATAATTATTACTCACATAATAAACACAAACAAGATAAATAAGATAAACCAAATAAAAATAAATAGAAGAAAAAAATACCTGGATGGTCGCAGCTATTTCACTCCCAAATCCGTTAGTGAGTGGCGCCTCATGGGCAATAACAACTCGTCCAGTTTTTTTCGCAGACTAAAAGTTTAATAAATAATGATTAAGTAGACAGAATGAACAATAATAATATAAAATTGTAAACACTGACTATTAGCAGCTGGTACTTGCGAATGTATTTTTTATTCGATGAAGTTACTTTCGCGGATCAACTGTACGTTACAAGAATGCACTTTGCATTAATGCTCAATACAAAGTATATATAAATATATAAATCATAAATCATAGATCATATGCATCGATATCCAATCACCATTAATGCTAATTTACAATCCGATTGTTGATTATATGGAGAAAAGAGAATAGTTATATTCTTAATGCACACTACTGAGAAAGAAAACACTTTTTATTGAAAATTTATTTTCTTGACAAAAGAACGTATATTTTTGAAAATTTCCGAGAGTAAATTTTTTTATCTGAAGAAATGACTTTTCTTCGAAAAATATTTATTAATATTTAATAAATGAATAAATTGTTTCCAAATAAATGAATTTATTATTAGTTAATCAATTTTACTATCAATGTGTTACGAAATAAAAATAACAGTTTAAAATAAAAAGTTAAGTGGATTGGATTAAGAAGTTATTTAAAAAGTTTCCGATAGGTGGCTACAGTTCTTGTAGTTAAAATTCTTCAATTTGGGTATTTAACTTCTCTGAAAAATTTTTAAAGGTCAAGCGTTCAAATCCCAGACAAAGTAATTCTTTTTATCCACTGATAGAAAGATTTGTTAATAATATTTAATAAGCTTCATCATAAAAAATTGTGGCTTTATAAATTTATAAATGAACTAGCGAACCCAGCCCGCTTCGCTGGGCTAAAGCTTACTTAGTCTTCATCTTTATCTTCATTCTCTTCCACTCTTTTCTCCCTCGGGAGAAAATTCTTCACCTACACTGATGTACATGTCGATTAATACAACATCTACTTTGTTATTTATATAAAAGCATATCGGACTTATCTTAATGTCAGCGGTAAAAGTACGAAGCAACGGCTTGAGCGTTGTAAATGTGAATAATTTGAAAATTTTATCAATAAGAACAAAGAAGAGATAAGTTTTTTTGAATTGTTAATTCTGATTACGAACTTGTAATTAATTTAACTTATATTCTACCTGATGTTCATGAAATTTTATAATAAACAGATCCGAATACTCCCTCAACATCATCAAGTAGTTCACATTATTGATATTATTTATTCGTGTGATTATTTTATGTTTGTTGACAGATGACAGATGTGAAGTTAGTTGATTTACTTTTTTAATAGATTTTATTTTTTAGTCTATACATTGCAATAGGGATAGCATCATCGTTTTCTCCATGAAAATATACATTTACATATGTACTAATTTTCATGACAATCGGTTGAACGATACGAAAATCGGTACTTTACAGCGCTACCTAATGATGAGTGACATCAATGGGCAAAGCATATTCATTTTCTTCGTGGAAAAATACATATACCTACCTATTTTTATAATGATCGGTCAAATAGTTTCTGAGTTTATCGATGTCATATATACAAACATCCTCTTTTATATATATATAGATTTATTATGAATTTTCACATCTTACTATTAACATATTCACTCCAAAAAAATAAATTAACTGTTAATAAATGTACTTTTGTGAAAAATAAATATTTAGTTGTATTTAATAAATGAATAATTAGTTTCCAAATCAATTTATTAACAGTTAATAAATATTTTTATCAATGCATAAATATCCTTTACATTCTGATAAATTTTTCTAGAACATTTTAGGACATGTTTATTAGACTCAAATTTTTAGAAATATTCAAAGAAAGAATTAAATTTTTTTTCAAAACTTTCCTTTAAAATATTGTTAAAAAAAAATAATGAAATGTAAAAAAGGTGACGCTGCACTCATTACGCGATCTACGCAGGGTCAGTAGCATTTAAAAAGAAGAAAGAACAATAAAAGTTATACCTTGTAACATTTCAATAAGACATCAGATAGTCATGTAATAAGTTATAAGAAAACAAAAATTACCGTGGAAACAGTCTCGATATCCCACGGAAGAATAGACATGAGATCAATGACTTCACAAGAAGCGCCGAGTTTCTCTTGGACAATATCAGCAGTCTCGAGTAGAACATGCACTTGACTACCCCATCCAACCAGCGTTATTGAATCACCTAAGAGTAAACCATTAATCATTTGTCATAAATTTATCTGATCAATCACAATCATGCATTGACAAATTGCCTCGATGGGATATCTAATATCTAATTTATTAAATTAGTTATTTACATTTTACATCTCACATTAAATTACCTTCTCTTACGATTTCAGCTTTTCCAATGGGCACTTTGAAGCTGTTTACAGGAACATCATCCACGGCAATGCGGTAGAGAGCCTTTGGTTCGAATATCAAACAAGGATCTGGATCATCGATGCAGCTCAGTAGCAAACCTTTTGCTTGAATTGGTCCTCGAGGAACTACGATCTATTTACAATAAATACTTGTGACTATTCAAATCATTAATCATCAATCATAATGATTAATCATCAATCATTGATCAATGATCAGTAATTATGGCAATGAACAGCAAGGAATAACTAACAATCAACATCTGATTTCTGCAGGTAAATTTTATAACAATAATTCAGTCAGAGGCACCATCTGTTGAGTAATACTGAGACTTGGTAGTTAGAAATAATAATTTATACGATTAAAAAAAAAATAATCTGTCACCGGAAGTAAAATGAATTGTGTAAGAACATTCAACGAGATTCTTTACAGACATATTAAGTCACTTAGACATCTTTCAAAACGTAGGCAAAACAATCCAAAACCCATGGATCAATCATAAATAAGAAACAAAATAAAAAAGTAAAACTATCAAATATATAAAAATAAATCTAAGTATTAAATAGTTGAGCCAAGCAAAGAATGATCAACTATCAACTTTAAATCACATGATAAATATTTTATAAGAATTAAAAATCTAAAATTGAAAACTATCAATAACATTGTTTAAAAAGAAAAAGAAAAAGACATCTGTCAGTTTTTAGAATTTCTTCTAACTAACAAATTATTATAAGAAAAATTTTCGAAAATTACTCATGAAAATTACAAAAAAAAAGTACGCAATTTTTTGAAAACGTTTCTTTGAAATAAATTATTTTTTAAATAAAAAAACAGTTAGGTTCAGTCAGAATGTGAAAATTGCGAGAATAGTGAAAATCTTAATAATATTGAAATTAAAAGATATCTGAAAATTTTTTAATTTTTTTTTACTAATTAAATAAATATTAAAAAAATTTTAAGTGCGAATTTTTATAAGTAATTCTTTTTATAATAATTTATTTTTTAATTAAATAATAAGAAAATTTAACTTTTTGTTTAAATTTTTGGGGGAATAATAAAAATACTTACCTTAAGACCAGGTGTATGGGCAAAATAAGCTTCTGGACTCTGCGAATGATAGAGAGCTCCATGTCCAACAGCTCCACAAGGTGCTCGTACTGTTAGCTTCCCACAATCGAAGAGATTGCCGCTTCGGTATCGGATTTTAGCTGCCTCGTTTACCAGCTGTAAATATTCAACAACAATTATCAATTAATATAATTTTTTCTCCAATAAAAAATTCATAATAACAATTATTTAAAATTTTAATTATAGTTACTTGGTCAAATGCTGGATAAATGTAATCAGCAAATTGAATTTCGGCGATCGCAGTAACACCTTGATTAGCGAGTCCAATTCCAAATCCAACGATTCCTTGCTCAGATAACGGAGTGTTGAACACTCGGCTATTGCCAAACCGATCTTTTAAGCCAACTGTGCAACGGAACACGCCACCGAATGCGACGTCTTCGCCAAAAATTACTACAATATTTTCAATAAGAATTAATTAGTAACGAAGGTTAAAAGAATTTTCATTTTCAACTAACTGAACTTCTGTTTTACCTGAATTGGAGTTTTTTTCAAGCGCAATGCCCAGCGCGTCATTAATCGCCTGGTACATATTAATCTTCTTGGTCTCACCTTAGACAAAATTATAACAATTAATGATCAATTATGAATCATTTATAAATAATAAATACAATACAACAAGTTTTGAATTACCATCGTAGGATTTTTTGTCTGGTACAAACGAAAAATGCAAACTACGAACCGAATTATGAGACTTTTTTCTTAATAAATTGCTCAGCAAGCTCATGTAATTATACGCGTACAACTTGCTTGGAATCATGCTCGAAAAATACTAGTGTCTGACAAGTGCCCAGTTGATAATCTCATGTGTATTTACATTTACAGTATTTACATATGTATGAGTAATAAGTATTCGTATTTGTAATTAATTGTGTTTTATTTTATATCTGCGCTCGAGTTTTAGTTGTGATAAAAATTTGTATACATTTACATACGGTATCTTTTAATACTTGTATTCACATTTGACCTCTTAATGTAGTGGTTTTTATTTTATTATTATTATTATCATTATTATTATTATACTGATAGAAGGATTTATTAGTTTTTAATAAGCATTATTAACTGTTAATTAATGAGTTTTCAATGTTAGATGATTTACTAAATATTTTATAATAGTTAATAAATTATTTACTAATTAAAATTTGTTAACTATTAATAAACATTTGCTAAGTATTAATGAATGTACTTTCCTTAAAAAAATATTTTTATAAGTTAAAAAATCTTAAGTTATCTCTAATAAATGAACAAATTGTTTCAAAATAAATGAATTAGTTAACACTTATATATAATTCTGCATGGTTGTATATTGCTCCATATGGGGTATTCCATGCCAAATCGACCACTTTTGACCCCGACCCTTTTCGA